CAAATAGACGGCGATTTGATGGGCTGGGGTCGGTAGCCGCCATTAACGACTGCCCGCTCGTTTCCCTGATCACTCCAATTGCATGGAGCGATACACCTGTGAGCGTCGGCACCAAATTTCCAATGGTACCAGCATTTATCACCACGTTGCTGACCCCGTCGCGAAGAGGATGATCGCGAACGCGGCCGTCTAACCCTAGGAGATCTTGGCCGATAATCTCGATCGCGCCGAGAAAAACGCGATTCATTCACTAACTCCTGTCGAAGGGCCGCTATTTCCTGTTGGAATGACAAAGTAAGCTGGGCCAGCTTGAGATTCAACAAAGCTTCGTAATCATGACCCATCGCCGGTGTTGTATCTGTAAATGATCCCCGAGCACTTGACGATTCGGCTACCTGGCTACGAGAATACGGTGTCTCCAATGCCTGGCCGCGAGGATACGCTGCCTCGGCTACCTGCCCTCGAGGGCCCGTCGCATCGGCAATTGCATCCGCCAGGTCAGCTACCTTGTCAAGGTCGGTATATTTTTGGGTAGCCACTATTACTTGCATATGAGAAGGCAATCGCCCCAACCACAGGGTTCGCAGCACACTGCGACGTAGGAACTGCGATGGTTTTCTATCTCCTATTTCTTCGTGCTCCAAAAGGCGTCTAGTCTTTTGTTCTTGAGATGAGCTCAGCCGCCGAATCAACTCCGTTTTTAGCTTCTGATACGGCTCAGCAAGCGGTGGGTCCAAGATAATGTCACGCACTTCAGCAGCATACTGCGGATTCACAGCTCCCAATATATATCCGAATTTAGTATTCTCTGTTGATACTCCCGATGCATCAAAACTTCGCTCCACCATGGAAAACCACATTTCCGGCAATAATCGGGTATCCGGACGGCTACACGATCCACACCTAATATTCCTGGCTCCTGATTATTTGCCACTGTCTTTACACACTAAATGTTCAACGATAAGAAGTACACTGATCACAACACAGCACACAACTGACTCCAGAAATAAATCTTTTTCTAAAATGTCTAAATGTTTCACAATGGCACTTTGCATGCCACGTATATGCGATGCCTGCATTAGTTTCCAAGGGAAAAGTAATATGGCGATAGCCTTGATTTATAAGAAGTAAGAATTTTTTCCCTACCTCTTCAGATCAAATCTTTGTGTAGCTCTCGGAACGAAGAGTCAAAGCTCTGGTACAATAAAACATCTGTTGTACAGGCCACTTTCTC